ATATACATGTGAGGTATGATAGCCCTAGCACCAACTGTTCAAAAGTTATGGCCAAGGTTAAAGTTGGGTAAATTTTTGCAAAAGTGGGTCAAATTCGAAGGTCAAGTTTGACCCAAAGGAATTCTTGTCACAAGGAATACACATGTGAAATATGAAAGCCATAGCTCCAACCAATCAAAAGTTATGGGCAATGTTAAAGTTTCTGCGGACAAAAAGACAAACAGCTAAACAGACAGACAGACGGACAGGGCAAAAACTATATACCCCCGAATCTTCGATTACGGGGGCATAAAAATTGGCAGTGTCTAATATACCTTCAGCATCTACTTTATTTTCTGTAGTTGTTCAGTTCAAGTTCATACGTATCTGCATTTTCCTTTCCATTCCAAAAACAAAATTCACTAGATTGTCTGTATCATAATTCGATGCATTGCTTTAATTTATGCTTCGTGTATGTTTTAAAGAAGAAAAATAGTCTCCCCACTTTCTGTATCAAACACCAAATTACTTCAAATACCTACTACAATGTGTAGCTGATTCCCTAAATATTGACTACTTTTCATTTAAGCCTGCATTCTTGAAAGAATTGCTTCAGTGGTTATTACATTGTATTAACACTTTTGTTAAAATATCGGACTGTCTCAGGTAAATCAAAAAGCAATGTTTTAGGATAAGAAATATCATGAAGTTGAGAGAGAGAGAGAGAGAGAGAGAGAGAGAGAGAGAGAGTCCCCGCTTCTGTAAAACTCACGCATTGAAACGAACATGTACATAATTACAGGTACATGTATGCACTTGTCATGTTTATTTAAGTTATCACAGCACGTGTATCGATCAAACGCGTGTTTACCTGATGTTTTTGTATATTGCCGATATGATTGCTTATTGTATTTAAGGAATACCTGTTCTACAGGTATTCGAATGAAGCTGTGAAAAAATTAGGACAATCGAGGGCTTTTTCTCAGTGCAAACTGATGTTTCCTTGTCCACTCGCTCCTACAATAAACCGTTTTCGCCTTTCTGAAGAAATGGATGTGTCATTATGTAACAACCAATAATTGAATTTTGGTTGTAACGCCTCATTTAATTGGATAAAAAATGAGTTTATATCGTATAACTTGTGTTACCTACGTCACAATGACTTAATTACGTCAAAAACGTATCAATCCGCTCGACGTTACCTTTAAATTTTGTACAATTTGAAGGCATTTTTGAAGGAGAAATTGTCTCATTATTTACTCTTAATGATGGAAAATTAAATAAGGAATGAATTTAATAGCTACCCAAGTTGTACAGGTATAACCTGGGCTGGAACATTTTACGCTTTTTATAAACCGCTTCGGGGTTAAGAAAGCGTAAAATGCCCCAAACCAAGTTAAACAGTATAACTTGGGTAGCTATTAAATTCATTCCTTAATTGTTAAGAAGAAAGCTCAAAATATTTCATTCAAATGGAAAAATTTACCACTTCAATCAGTCCAATAAAACCATGCGCTTCATTGTAATTAATGTACTCAGTTATAAAAGCTCATAGGGTAATGAACTATACATGTATGTACTTTTCATACATGTATATTTTTCACATGCTTGCTTACATTGACTGTACCCTTATGTATTACTAATTACTAAACGTTATAAATCTGAGAAAGTTGCAGCCAGAAGTGTATGCTTATGATGAACAAGAGCGCTTCTTGCAAAATTGTGAAATTCATTGCCCCTGGGACAGGGGATCTGGAGTTAAGGTGGAGCTCTATTGACCATATAGTGAAAATGTATTAATTCTTTGAAAAATCTTCTCTACTCATGGTTATTTAACAGACAGACTTGTGCATGGTTATTATGAGCAGGAGTGCTTCTTCTGAAATCGTGAAATTCATGGCCACTGGGTGAGGGGTTCTGTTTTTCAGGGTGGGGCTTTATTGGTATATAGAAAAATTCTTTATACAAATCTTCGATTGTTCTCTGCTCCTGGGTACAAATAAGCGGACAAACTGTACACAGATACGATGAGCAACAGTGCTTCTTCCAAATTTTGAATTTCATGGCTCCTGGGTAATAGGGCGGGGCTCTATATTGATCATATTGTGAAAATGGATTAAATATTTGAAAGTCGTCTTATCTGTTGCTGGATATTTTACAGAAACTAAGTGTATGTTATGATGAGCAAGAATCCTTCGTCCCAAATTGTGAAATTAATAGCCCCTGGGTCAGGGGTTCTGGAGTTGGAGTGGGCGCTATTGTGATCATATATGAAAATATTAACTCTGCTTTAAGAGAAGTTATTCCCGTTTGTTATTCCCCTTTGATAATATTGTAATTAAAAGGTCAATTAAAAAAAAGAAATATGTGGTAACTTTTATTATATAATACAGAAAGTACTTTTATAGGTTTAAATGATCAGGTACACTTGTTAATTAAAGATGAATAACAAGACAACGTTAACGCTCACTATTCTACATCAGCAGATTTTTTTACAAGGACATTCCTATGTAAAACTTTGATTATTATTGAGGCCCACCCTACCTCGGAATCTTGACAAAAAGGTAAATCTATACTACCTGAGGATGCTTCCATATTAATATGACTAATCATACTTTTCCTGTGCTTGAAAAAAAGTTTTTAAAGATCCTTAACAATGAATTCCTATGTTTATATTTGATTACCCATATTTCCTATATACTCCTTCTTAACTTTGATTGTCTTTGATGGCCCCACCATACCTCTGGATGTCATGATTTGAACATTTTGTACAATAGCTGAATATGATTCCATATAGATATGACTAATTATGGCTTTGCTGTTCGTGAGAAGAAGAATTTGAAATGATTTTTTTTTTCATATATTCTCCTATATTAATATTTTATCGCCCATTGTGGCCCCACATTACCCCCCAGGGGTCATGATTTAAATAAATTTGAATTAAAAAACCTGAGGATGTTTCCATATAAGTATGACTAATAGTGGCTTTGCTGTTCGTGAGAAAATTTTTGATTATTTTATCTTATATACATGTATTCCTATGTAAAACTTTGATCGCACCCTACCCCCCGAAAGTCATGATTTGAACAAATTTTAATCTACACTACCTGAGAATGCATATATATATTAACAAGTTAAATTGATGCAATGCATCAAAATTTAAAGACGAATTCAACATACATCTAAATGCTGACAAAAAAGGGCATACAAACTTCACGTGCTTATACCCTGGATCTTTGTCACGTGATAATACCAACCGATATGTATTTGAAATCTAAATAATAAATGTGATTAAAAAAATCCATTGTGTCATTTGCAACTGTTGTGTATTCAAAGCAAAATTTAGTTCTTTAACTTTTTACAATTTATTAATTATTTTAGGCACTGTAATTCATATCCGGAAACGCAATACGTTTTATTTTTATATCTTACGCACGTCCATGTTTGGGGAGCAGTTCATGTAAGCACTTCTCATAAAAACATGGGTAATGAGACATTATTATTAAATTCTATTGCTTCTTTGGAATAATTCCTTATTGATAAGTAGATAACATACATAAAAGTTATATATATATTTTTAAATTTGCTTAATACCTAGTCTAAATGATTGTTATAACGTTTCAATTTGTTTTTCATTTCTCATCAGATATTTTTTAATTTTCTATTCTTGAGAAGATAAATTTTAAAGATTTTTTCCAATATCGATCGCCCATAATTGTGGCCCCAGCCTACCCTCAGGGTCATGATTTGAACAAACTTTAATCTACACTACCTGAGGATATTTCCCTCTAAATATGACTAACTATGGCTTTGCTATTCTTGAGAAAAATATTTTTAAATATTTTCTATGTATTCCTATGTAAAACTTTGACCACAGGTTTTTATGTCTTCAAATCAAGGGTCTGGGTCTTTCCATGGAAAATTTGGTTGAAATTAGGAAAGATGTCCTATTTAACATTTTACTAAATAAATTCAAAATGAGAGTTTGCAATGTATTTATTGACTTAATTTACTTTCAGTCAGCAAGTTTTGCAACATGCCCTATGTACTAGTAAATTTTTGAACACCATTTCCGATATACATGTTACTGAGTTCGTACATTTTTTTGATCACATTTGTTTGTTTCCATTGTACTTTGGAAATTTTCTTTTATTAAATTGGGAAAAACATATACTTTTTACCATGAAACAGAATAAAGGCCCCCTACGACCCCTAAAAAACCCTAGACCACCCCTTATAGCTGCACCCTACACTCGGGGTCATGATTTGAACAAATAGGAATCTACTCTATGTCAGGAAGTTCTACTTAGGGTTCATAAAAATTAAACCATCTGTTCACTCATTTAAAATGTTGCTTTGATGCTTATGATTTTCCACAAAAAAGAGTATTTTATAAGTAAAATAGAAACAAATTTAGCATAGCTTGTGGGGCAAAATTAAACAAAAAAGACATTTCAACTTGACAAACATATTAAGAAATAATAGACTTGTATCCAATTAGAGTTATCTCTCATATCAGAGTATTAAAGAACCTTAAGTTTCATCTTTTCTGACCCAGTGGTTCCTGATAAGATTTATAAATGATGTCATTAAATTTTCACAAATTTTTAATTACTTCCATTGAAAGATGACTTGGCCCTTCATTTTAATAAACTAAATAACCCGTCACCCAAGGATGCTTTGTGGCAAGTTAGGCTGAAATTGGCCTAGTGGGACTGGGGAAAAAGCAAAAATTAAAAAAAAGTTAACAGACAGCTAAACGGGTGGACGAACGACGGGCAAATTTGATCTGAGAAGCTCACTTAAGCTCTCAACTCAGGTGAACTAAAAAAAAAAAAAAAAAAAAAAATTAAATCCCATGCTTTGTGCATCTGAGCATGATTTCTTATCATACTGACAATGAATGCATGACTGTGGCCCAGAAGATATAAATATGTTTTAAATATTTTATATACATTTGTGTCTGTCAACAAAAGAAGTTAAAACCCGTCTCCGATTGCCCTCCTCCTTTGTATATTTACCTTTGTATACGTGGACAGGTAGATTCAGCTAGGTAACATTTCTCGTCAGGATTTATCTCTAAGCATGATGGCCCTGTCAAGGTACAATACAGGTAAACACGGTCAAGTTTTCTTCATGGTTAATTATAATACATGATGTCAGAGTTTGGAACATGTAGTTAATACTTTTAAAGCATATTTTCCATAAAGAATTTGTTCATTATTGATAGAAGACTTACATTCATAAAGTTCGTTAGACTGATACACTTTGTTTGGACACGTCTCGGGAAATAGATTTGTACAAGGATTTTGTTGGTTAAAGTAAACGCTTTTTATGAAACTGTTGTAAACTGCACAAAAACCTGTAAAAATTATTTAATATTTTTTAAATATACTTTTTAGTGCTAAAACAAGTTGATACATGTTCTATTGTATTGATCTATTCTTGACTCTTGTCAGTGTTTACACAATAATATGAAAGAATTTTTAAATTCCCGTCCTGCGATACTTTGCATAGTTATGGATTGGGTCGATTCTATCTCGGAATTTTTTGGTAGATTCACGTTCACTTTGTCACTAATGTAATTTGATTGATTTCTCTATTTTATCAAAACAAAGAATATCAATATATGCACTGGATCTTTGTGGTCAGATTACGGTCCTAAGAGATTAGGATAACTCCGTTCTGAAACGGGGCACTGTCTAAAGCATAACAAAGTCGACTGCCTGTCACTATCGAAAGGGAATCGGGTTAATATTAAATCAGGTAAGTAAAAATGATCATCCTAAAGTTTGAGAATTTTACGTTTTTTCATTGTTACTAAGACATGTAAGACTTGGTAAAGATTAGAAGAAGGGGGAAGCATAACGTACCTTGCAGAACACAGTCACTTTCTCAGCAAATTACAAATCATATGAAGATTTATAACAGAAAAGTGCAAAATCAATGAAAAGCAGTACGCACTATTTAAATTACTGATAGCAAATAAGGTAATTGGTTAAATTTGGGTGTAAATTATTTGTGCTCAAACCTGGCTGTATTGGTTCTGGAATGAAACAGTCCTCTATAGTGTCATTCAAATAGTTTGTAGGGAGACAATGATAAACAAGATTTCCGGTATTGTTGCAGATAATTTCCGATCTAATCGTCCAAGAAGTTTCATTCCTCGGACATTCCCAGCCGCTTGTTTTTGTGAAAGGATACATCTGCAAGAACAAAATGAAAAGAAATAAAAAAAAATGTCAAGGAATTTACCATAATCACCATTGTAACCTAGCAACTAAGCTTTATGATAAACGTAATGACTTTAACTTTTCAATCATCAACTTTCCTTACTTGTGCAGCAATATACCATTATCACCTGTAAACGGGGTTTATATCTCAGTTGATTCGATGCGCAAGAGCGAACGATTTCTAAAACGAGGTAATTTATTGACAAACAAGTTGATAAAACAAGAATATCAACAGTCTCGTTTAAAGTCATCATTTCGTAAGTTCTTTGATCGATGACCTTGTCAGCAAATACCATCTTTCATTAAGCCAAATGCTAACTGATTTTTTCATACTAATTGTTAGGCCATTATTTACACACTGAATTGTCTACGGATTTTTCTTTGTTTCATCATGACAAGGACCACAGGGCGGGTGTGACCGGTCGGCAGGGATGCTCACTCCTCCATGGCACCTGATCCCACCTCTGATGTTTTAGAAGTCCGTGTTTGCTCTGCTCCTTATTTGTATTGTTTTAATGGACTTTTGATCTTGAATACTGTTCATTATCTCCATATATTTCATCCTACGGATTCATCCTTACTAATTAAACAAGGTAGGTTTTATTCTACGTCCTTTTTAGCTCACCTTTTTTTTTTTTTTTTTTTTTTTTACACTTTTAACGTCTTCTCCAGAACCACTGGGCCAATTTCAACTCAATTAGCCACAAAGCATCCTTGAATGATATGAATTAAGTCTGTTCAAATGAAGGTCCACGCCCTTTTTCAAGGGAAGGTAAGTGAGAATTTCACGACATCTTTTAAAATTCTTTTCAATAAAAACTGGGCCAGAAAAGATGAAACATGTTAAACCTTTATTACATAGTGTAGATTCAAGTTTTTTTTCAAATCATGATCTCCGGAGGTAGAATTGGGTCACATAGGGCATTCAAAGTTTTACATTGGAATATATAGGAAAAAATCTTAAAATCTTCTTCTCATGAACAGCAAATATTAGTCATATTTATATGGAAGCATCCTCAGGTAATGTAGATTCAGGTTTGTTCAAAACATGATACCTGGGGGATAGGATGGGTCCACAATGGAAGATCAAAGTTTTATATAGGAATACAAAGGGAATATCTTTAAAAATCTTCTCAAGAACAGTTAAGTCATGATCTGTCATGTTTTAAAATTAAAATTCGGAAGCATATTCAGGCAGTGTAAATTGAAGTGTGTTCAAAGCATGTCCTTCCTCTGTCCCGGGGAATGGTCCACTTAATGTTCATGTATATTTAAACTTTTCAATACCAAACTACTTATTACTGTTTTTCTTTGGCCAAAGTGCTCAGTTGAGCGATGTGGCCCATACTTTTTTTTTTAAAAGAAAGGATTTTTGCTTCATTGGAAAATGTAAAATGTGCTAAATGATCAATGATATCATTGCAGTACTAATAGTACTTTTTCTACAATTCTTGATCTACATTTTTAGTTTTATGTAATGTACACATATATGAACTTTCAATAACTTTCAGTAAACTGTATGCCAACTTTAATATCTGTGATGTAATTTGTTGGGATTCTTCATACTCAGACAGGTACGAAGTGGAATCACATGGGATCTGTAAGTTTGATTTTCTTTTATATGAATCATGATTTATACGTTTCCCACTTTCATTATAATCACTATAAAATATATAATCATTAAATTTTTATGAATTAAAAAATTATGATTAATAATGTTGTATATTTTAAGTTGTGTATCATTATCATTATATGTAGTATTTTATCAGAGACATCTACAGCTACAACCTTGAAGAACCTTCAACAGTTGCTACTGTTACAGAATATTGCATTTTTATACAGTATTTTCTTTCTGACATATTTTCATTAGCGAAAAAATAACAACATTTTGTCCCTATCTTCAAATTGTAGATGTTTTTTGGGATAATTGAAAGTAAGCCAGAAAGAGACTACGCCCACCAACACTTGAAAGCCTTATATATTTATATAGCTTGATTCTTAGTTTGCATGCCTGAATATTTCTTGTCAAATTATTTTGATGAGACTTTATGGTTAAATCTTGCATCTTCTACATTAAAAAAATACGAATCTAAAACAAACACAAATCACTATAATTCAAAACAATTATGAATAGGATGATATATTCCAATATTTTACTATTATTTTAAAACCGTCCCAGTAGTCCAACACAGGTAAGTTTAACCACTGCATGAATCTTTACTGTGTATTAGGTCACTTCCTTTACATGTGTTAAGGGATATATTAGCAGAGAAGACTGCACCTGTAATATTCAGCCCCTCCCACACCTGAGATTACCCACCCGGTAAAAAGTCTGCCAGGAAGTGAGTATAATAGAATATCAGATACATACCATTGTAAATAGGTACACAAAATTTAACATTTTTCAGTTGGTTTTTCAGTACTTCCCCTTTGCTTATTATTGCTAAAGCTAAAGAGAGAAATGAGGGGGATAAATCCCCATATTGAATGGGAAACACTTTAAGCAACACTCACGATATTTAGATGCAAATAATAGGTAATAAATAGGAATCTACAGGTATGCTTATAAAATGTCCATAAGATACATCTTAAGATATGTCTTAGGATATGTCTAAAGGCATATCTTAGAACTTACGATATTTCTATCTACAACGGAAGCATAATTGGAGTATCTTAAGTTAGTTTGTGAGTTCCATCCTATGCATTTTTGTAAAACAAACATTACTGGTACATACACTTTGTATTTGCAGTTCCATCACGTAAACTGGAAATTATTGAAATGTGTAAAAAGTAAATCCTAATTAAAACACTCTACTTGTGAGTGCGGATCAAAACTGAAAGCGTCTAGATACCATAGGCGCAGTTGCATAGGCACTCTCCATCTGCGTAATTTCGTAAAGTTTATTTAATTTATTTAGGTCTGCCCTTCTATACTATAATATTTATAAGTACATAAGGATAGACCTATATGACAGACTTATTAATCATTTACGAAATTGGACGGCGAGCACCTATACTGTTTTCTGTTGTATATATATACAAGAAACACTAAAATCGTATAACAATACATTTTCAGACCGAGAAGAATTAAGTTTAATCTATAATCTTAGAAAATAATTCGATGCCTTGCTTGTACCCAAATGATCAACAGCTCTCTCTCTCTCTCTCTCTCTCTCTCTCTCTGCTTTTGAAAAGATATTTCTAATTTGTGCCTTTATTTTTTGATTTTTTTTTACTCCTATCATCAGATATTTCTCCCTATCTTCCGGTCAATCTTCCTATCTTCACTTGAAAACAGTTGTTCTTATCTTCAAACCAATTGGTCGCACGCATGACGTAATGTTTAGAGATCGCAGTGTAAGGAGTTGATCCTTATGTCGCGGGTTCGAATCTCACTGCGGAACGTGGAGACCGGTCCTTCGGATGAGACCGTATAAACTGAGATCCCGTGCATGTCGCAGTGGATACTGGCAAAAAAAAGAGAAGATCCTTCACTACTCAATGTCTCTGAATGCCGAGTATAGGTCTAAATTTGCAGCTCTCCACCGGCAAGTGGTGGCATCTCCATCGGTCTCACACAATTATTCCTCGAAAATTACCTCGATACATAATGAGACTTAAGATGCATGGGATACAAGCTTCTGGTTGGGGTAATTAATGAAGGATAAAACCAGAGACGTCGGAATGGAATACTAGGAAGTCTCTGGTTTTATCCTTCATTTATAACCCCAACCGGAAGCTTTGTATTCCCATGGGTACCAATTGCGCCCCGTTATAAGCAGACCTAATTTTGTATTCATATGGAGCAGGATTTGTTCAAAATCTTTTACGTGAAAAGAAGAAAACACTTGCTGTGGCCTTCAACTCGACATTTAGATACATCGGCGATGTATTGTCAATTAACAATGGTTATTTCCATTCTTATGTCGATACGATATATCCCGGTGAGCTTGAGATAAAAGATATCACAGAGTCTGACACATCTGTTTCATACTTGGATATTTTGTTAGAAAAAGACGTTAATGGCAATCTAACAACAAAGCTTTATGATAAACGTGATGACTTTAACTTTTCAATCGTCAACTTCCCTTACTTATGCACCAATATACCCTTATCACCTGCATACGTGGTTTATATGTCTCAGTTGATTCGATACGCCAGAGCATGCTCTACGTATGAACAATTTCTAAAACGAGGTAAGTTATTGACAAACAAGTTGATGAAACAAGAATATCTACAGCCTCGTTTAAAGTCATCATTTCGTAAGTTTTATGGTCGATACAATGCCCTTGTCTGCAAATACAATCTATCATTAAGTCAAATGCTGATTGACTTTTTTTTCATACTATTTGTTAGGCCATTATTTACACACTGAATTGTCGACGGATTTTTCCGTTATTTCCCGACCATGACAAGAAGCACACGGCGGGTGTGACCGGTCGGCAGGGGATGCTCTCTCCTCCATGGCACCTGATCCCACCTCTGAAGTTTTAGAGGTCCGTGTTTGCTCTGCTCTTATTTTGTAATGTTTAATGGACTTTTGAGCTCGAATACTGTTCGTTATCTCCACATATTTCATCTAAAGTCTTACTATGTATCGAGGTAATTTTCGAGAAAGAAATGAGTGGTTTACAATAAAGAGGCTCAACTAGAAACGTCTGAAACGATTTATTTGACAAGAAAAAAGTCTCTCGAAGCGAACGATGTGATTTTAAAGTAGGTGAATGATTGATATATTAACAAAATACGAGCTTGAAGCGGAGGTGCCTGAAATTGAGTTACTAGGTACCTTGTGGAAAGAAAAAGAAGGGGGTGATCCCATATATGAAACAAGTGCCTGTGATTTTTCCGCATGTAAATGAAAGTCTCCTGCATATCAAGAAAACCTGTTTATTCACCATGTACTTTATAAAGGTACATTCACTAAAACTTTAGTACTCTACATGTTATGGTACATTTACATGAAGTTGTCAGTGCATAGTAAACAAAGTAATCCACCGCGTCACTTGTGCGCAAATGGTTACATTTGCTGGGTGCCTCACATGGAATCAATTGTGACAGCCGCTGATTTGATCCAAAAAAAAAAAAAAAAATGCGCACCATGTTTCCGGAAATTGACATTCATTCTCCCCGCCCAAATAAAGGAATTTCAAGATTGCGCAAAAAAAAAATTGCAAAACGGTTCCTTATATAGATTACTTGCATGGATCACTAGTTCACAGTTAATATATATATATATATATATATATATAGAGAGAGAGAGAGAGAGAGAGAGAGAGAGAGAGAGAGAGAGAATAAGGTGCAACATGCATTAAAAATATGGTATATACTGATAAAATGAGTATGAAATCAATGTGGCAGTGCATGATATCTCGATTCCGACTTTTTGACACCATATAGCTAGCTGTGTGTAGCATTTCGTAATATATTCAATATACATGTGCGTGTATGAAAGTTTTTATCACAGCTACGGTATAGTATTAATTTAGTGCTAGAACATTTTATATATCTGCTCAAGGACACCAATTAGTACACAGTAGTTCTTACCTTAGTGTTTTGTAAACACAGAAACGTTTTTCTTCGTCACTGATTTGTCACTCTTGCTGGTGCTATCAAATTTGATATATATATATATATATATATATATATATATATATATATATATATATATATATATATATATATATATATATATATATATATATATATATATATAGTGTTAAAAGTTTTTAAAAACACAGTACATTAAAAGATGATTCGTCTAGAGCCACAGGTAAATTCGGAAAGGTAGCTCTTAGGTACGAAAATGTATAGTGTTTGCGGATAAAACGGGTTGAGGAAACCTATATAGTTATAGAACTGCATGATTTTGTTTTCAATCAATAAATTCGCATCCTAGTGGTTTTTTTTTCTCTCCCGGAAATCTAATACGTTCAAAAAGATAACATATAAGTGTTGAATAATAGCATTGTGTTATCCTTACGTTTTATCATCTAACAATTGAGTAAATGTCTGTCTTTGGGGGTTTTAGCCAGTCATGTATTTTTTCCAACCGCAACTTCTCGGGATTTTCCACAAGTTTGCAGAAAAGGCCCGAGAAGATGTAATATTTTGTTTACAATAAACATAGATAACTGTTGCGCAGAACTCTTGATTCCCACCTACATTTCAAGTCAAAGTAGAATTCATTAGAAAGTGATTAATTCGTATTAAAGTGTCAATTAATGCATTGCTTTAAATTACAACTAGGTGTTTATAAAATTCTGTTCATAAAATCGATCAGGCATGAAAACATGGAAATCGTCGCAGGGTGTTAATGAAAGTACCTTCTGGGATTTGTTGGACACAGTTAAACTATACCTCCTTAATTTTCAGTTTTCTTTTATGTTACATGTAGAACATGCTCGATCCATTTTTTTTCTTTTTGATTTATGATAACAAGTAAAATACCTTCAGACCGCCTTTCGGCCTCCTATAGCACACCAGTACACATGTATATGAATGTGTAATGGTTTTAAAAATTTTTATCTAAATTCGTAAATTGATGTGTTATTTTCACACTTTGTGTGTATCCTAATTACCCTTCATGTTTATGCTATGTACCGCTGTGAAGCTGACTGCTATATTTTTATTATATGATTAACTGTTTTGACTTCTGATCTTAAGGATCCAAAATATAATGTTCCCGTCAGGAGCGGATCCATGTAGTTTATACTATGTTAAGCATGATTTTGATTTTTACACTTGAACTGTTAATTAACTTCGCTCATGTTATTGTACTATTATGTGTATATTTGGGTTTTTCTTGGATTTATCTTGTGATTTTAAGTGATTGTATATTGTGATATGTGTAAATAATAGATTTACGCTACCAAAATAAGGACTCTAATTACTGAAGACGACTATGAATACGACAGCTTGGTCGGCGCTACGTATGTCAGCTTACATCAACCACTCTGACAGTGCACAAATGTCCCATTGTTATAGAGTCGAATTTCCCCCTAGCAACCTTAATCCCCATCCCGGAAACTGCTTGTACTTTAGAGTATGATTTCACCTCTAGAGCCAAATTTCTCCCTCTTTCTTTCCCATTTCCGCCACACACCCTCACACACACACACACACCCTCCCTTGTGTGTGTGTGAGAGGGTGTGTGTGTGAATATAAAAAAAAACAGCCAAATGGTTCATATGAAAATTGGAGAAACAAGTAAATATATCTGTTTCTTTTTTTAATGTAAAATGATAATACAACACAATATTTTGGGAAAACAACATTTAGCAAACACAAGGAAAGGTTTTTTTTTCCGGATTTTTCTCCTAAAAATTATCAGTGTTTTTCTGTCATTGGTGTTACCTTATAAAGGATTGTTGTATAGAACCAAGTGAAAAACTTATGAATGCAAACTATGATAAAAATTTACTAGGACTATTCCAGTTTA